CTGGTGAGAAGCTCTGTGTGTCTGGGGGCCTCAGCTGGCACACATGCCATTGGGGCCTGGCTTGAGAAGCGCTAGGGTGTTTCTGGGCAACTTTCCCTCTTCAGCAGCACCCCTTGTCTAAGTCCCACTGTGAGACGCCCTGCCAGCTTCTGTCCTTGGCTTTACGGGGTTCAGAATCACATGCAGTTGAGCCAAAATCATGCCACTGCGCTCCTATACTCCAACCTGGGTGACGGAGTGAGACTCTGTCTCAAAAAAAGGAAAAAAAAAAGGATCACATGCAGTCAATCATTATTATTCCAGATTCTGTATTTGTGAATTCACCTTCTTGCTGATATGTATTTGGAAACTTAAAGTCAACATTCATGGCACTTTCGAGGTCACTCACAGACGTGAAAAGCAGCAAAAAATCTAAGTCACCTCCCAGCTGAGGTTGGACAAGGCAACACTCTGCCTTCTTGTTTCACCTCCCACGTGGTAAAATGTCCTTTATGTGGTCTATTTAGTGCCACCGTTTGTTTGATTGTTTGTTTGTTTTGCTCCCTCTGTTGCCCAGGCTGGAGTGCAGTTGTGAGATCTTGGCTCACTGCATCCCCTGCCTCCTGGGTTCAAGTGATTCTCCTGTCTCAGCCTTCCAAGAAGCTGGGATTACAGGTGCACACTACCATGCCTGGCTAATTTTTGTGTTTTTAGTAGAGATGGGGTTTCACCATGTTGGCTAGGCTGGTCCTGAACTCCTGTCCTCATGTGATCTGCCTGCCTCCACCTCCCAAGGTGCTGGGATTACAGACATGAGCCACCACACCCAGGCTTTCTTTTGTTTTTTTTGGTGATTTTCCTGTGTAAAATGGCTCCCTTGGCCATGCGTGGTGGCTCATAGCTTGAATTTCAGTGCTGGGGAGGCCGAGGCGGGAATATTGCTTGAGTCCAGGAGTTCGAGATCAGCCTGGGCAACATAGTGAGACCCCATCTCTACCAAAAAAAAAAAAAAATTTAGCTAGGTGTGCTGGCACCTGCTTGTAGTCCCAGCTACTGGGGAACTGAAGTGGGAGGATCGCTTGAGACCAGGAGTTTGAAGCTGCTATGAGCTAGGATTGCACCACTGCACTCTAGCTTGGGTGACAGAGCAAGACCTTGTCTCTAAACATAAATAAATAAATAAATAAATAATAAATAAAATGATCCCTAACCACAGTGCTGAAGTGCTGTTTACTGTTCCTAAGTGCAAGAGCGCTATGATGGGGAAAATGCATGCATCCATTCATGCATGAGTTATAGCTGTTGGCTGTGAGTTCAATGTAAACAAATCAACAGTATATATGCAATAAAGTGTCTTTAAACAGAAACACACATAAAACAAGGTTACGTACTGATCAACTGATGAGAATGTGACCAGAGGCTCACAGGAACCTTACCCTGTATTTCCCCTAGGAGTGATGGCTCAGTATTTGCTAATTTAGTGTCTGCAAAAACTACAGAGGCTGCCACCCTTTTTGGGGCCAGGGACCGGTTTCATGGAAAACAACTTTTCTACAAACGGGAGGTGTGGGGGATGGTTTCCGGATGATCCAAGTGTATTTCATTTATTGTGCCCATTATTATTATTATTATTACATTGTAATATACAGTGAACTACAAGTCACCATCATGTAGAATCAGTGGGAGCCCTGAACTTGTTTTCCTGCAACTAGATGGTCCCATCCGGGGCTGATGGGAGACAGTGACAGATTCATCAGGCATTAGATTCTCATAAAGAGTGCACAGCCTAGATCCCTCGCATGTGCAGTTCACAATACGGTTCATGCTCCTGTGAGAATCGAATGCTGCAGCTGATGTGACCGGAGGCAGAGCTCAGGTGGTAATATGAGCGATGGGGAGCGGCTGTAAATACAGATGAAGCTTTGGCTCGCTTGCCCACTGCTCACTGTCTGCTGTGTGGCCCAGCTCCCAACAGGCCACGGATTGGTACCAGTCTGTGGCCCAGGGGTTGGGGACACCTGTCATAGAACATAACTACTGTGAATGATGAGAATCAGCTGTAATTGGCTTGGGGTGATGGAGCCACCCCAGGAAGGGGTTTCAGTGTCATCAGAATGAGCTGAGGTGGCACCTTGCCAAGGCATCTTCAGCTGGCTTTGGGCTCACTTGGCTTAGAAATATGACCCCCATCTCCACCCTTTCATTTTCTCTTGCAGGCTCTTTTCTCATTTCTGGAGGATTTGATGGGACTGTGGCTATTTGGGACGTAGCAGAAGGCTACCGGAAGCTCTCCTTGAAGGTACATGTGGCCAGCATGAGATTGGGGATCTGAACTTCCCTCCTGAGTCCTTCCCGTGCTCAGTGCTGGGTGCTGGGGACACAGCCATGGGCGACACAGGTCTAGATGCCTCCGTGGGCTGATGAAGGACAGACAGGAAGCCAGCAAACACACCACCAACAGTGAGGAGTGAAATGGAGAAACCACAACAGGGTGACATGATGGCGACAGATGCGGGGGACCCATCCACACTGCACGGGCAGGGAGAGCTTCCCGCAGAAGGAGGTGTTTGAACTGAGCACAGAAAGGACTGCATAAGTGGGGATCTTGAAGAAGAAGGGCAGTCCAAGCAGAAGGAACAGCTGATGCAAAAACCCCGAGGTGGGAGTGTCCAAGAACAGCAGAAGTTACTGTGCAGGGCCAGGCGCGGTGGCTCACGCCTGTAATCCCAGTACTTTGGGAGGCCGAGGTGGGCGGATCACCTGAGGTCAGGAGTTTGAGAGCAGCCTGGCCAACATGGTGAAACCCCTGTCTTTACTAAAAAGACAAAAATCAGCCGGGTGTGGTGGTGTGAACCTGTAGTCCCAGCTACTTGGGAGGCTGAGGTGGGAGGATCGTTTGAACCCAGGAGGCAGAGGTTGCAGTGGGCTGAGATTGTGCCATTGCACTCCAGCCTGGGTGATCGAGCGAGGCTGTGTCTCTAACAAAACAAAACAAACAAAAACCAGAAATGACCATGAGGAGCGACACGTACCATAGTGAGGCATGCACAGAAAGCGTGGGGCTCCAAAATGGAGATGTCAACTGGATGCTCTGGAGTACAAGTGAGAGGAGCCCCAACTCAGAGTGGCTCTATGATAAGGGGATGTGTTATCCAACACAGCAAGAACCCACGATTGCCTCATGCTGTGCCCCTGTTCCCCCAAGGGGCCCTGCACGCCAGGATTTCTGCGCACTCCCTGGTTTCACGATCTCACTGTCACCTTCGGCTGTGAATGCGTGCATCCCTGATTCTTGGTCTTTCTGTCCCCAGGGACACAAAGTAGACATGTGTCCTCCAGCAGCCCATGTTCAGGTCCCTGGGGCTGGTCTATCTGAGCTGTCTTCTCCTAGGACTTGGGGAGACAAAGCGAGTTTACTCACAGCAAATAAACAGCTTAAAATGGAATGTTAAACCTCTCTGTGCTTAAAGTCTCTCTGTCATCTGGGCACAGTGGCTCATGCCTGTAATCCCAGCACTTTGGGAGGCTGAGGCTGGAGGATCATTGGAAGTCAGGAGTTCGAGACCAGCCTGGCCAACATAGTGAAACCCTAGCTCTACTAAAAATACAAAAATTAGCCAGATGTGGTGATACCCACCTGTAGCCCCAGCTACTTGGGAGGCTGAGGCATAAGAATCTCTAGAGCCTGGGAGGCAAGGCTGCAGTGAGCTGAGACTGCACCACTGGACTCCAGCCTGGGTGACAGAGCTGGTTGTTCTATTCTCTCTCCTCTTCTCTTCTCTATCTTGAAGAAGAAGGGCAGTCCAAGCAGAAGGAACAGCTGATGCAAAAACCCCGAGGTGGGAGTGTCCAAGAACAGCAGAAGTTACTGTGCAGGGCCAGGCGCGGTGGCTCACGCCTGTAATCCCAGTACTTTGGGAGGCCGAGGTGGGCGGATCACCTGAGGTCAGGAGTTTGAGAGCAGCCTGGCCAACATGGTGAAACCCCTGTCTTTACTAAAAAGACAAAAATCAGCCGGGTGTGGTGGTGTGAACCTGTAGTCCCAGCTACTTGGG